CCCCCTCCTCCCCCAGCCCCTCGCCCCACAGGGGCTGGCCCCCCCCGGGAAGAACTAGCAAACATGATGTCCCCCAGGAGCGAGCGGGAGCAGGCCCTGGGGAAGAACCAGCCCCACGGGCAGCAGCCTTCACTGGAGCCCCGGTGCTCACTGCCCAGAGGTTGTCTTCTCCTTGCTGTCCACCCCCCCAACCTGCAGGGGGGACACGTGGGGGATTTGTAGGGCTGGCAGCTGTTGAAGTGTGGCCTCTGGCCTGGCACTTTCCGTTGGGTCCTCTGCTCTCCCTCCCCTCTCCTCTCCTCGCCCTGCGTCCTTTCAATCGCTAGTGACGCCTAATCCTTCTTGCGCGGTTCCTTTTCTTTCTGGGCTGGATTATTAACCAGCTGGGGATTCCTTTGCGTGCAGGCAGGGAGTTCTGTAAGGCATGGTCAGAAAAGTCCAGAGGGCGGCTGTGGTGGTGCGACCGAAACCCCACCGATGTAGAGGGTCGAGAGTGGGGAGCGGTCCAGCCTTCCCTCTTAAGGCAAACACCCTAATGGGGGTTTCATGGCCTGCCTCTGAAAGCAGCTATGTCAGAGGCGGGACAGGAACTCGCCAGGCACACAAGCTGTTCTTCAAATTGCAGGTCTACAGGCCCAAGGTAGCTTTTGGGAATCTCTTATCCATTTCCCTCCCTCCCTCCCTGACTCGGACAGCTTCACCCGGTACTTTCACTTTTGGGGTCACTCAAATCCCGGGGGGGGGATGGGAAAAAGGAAAACGAACTCTTTCTGGGGCTCTTTGGCTTCCGGCACTTTGTCTACCTTCACTGATGTCCTCCAAAACCCTGGGAAGGAAGTGCAGTCAGTTTGCTCAGCAGATCTCTCCCTTGATCTCCTGCTGTGGTCAACCATAGATTCCCCTCCACCTGATCCTTGATACACACAAGATCTCCAGGCATCTCTCTACCAAAACTGCTCCAGAAGCTTCCACGGATCTCCACTACTTACTACTTCTGCCTTTTACATATGTCCTGCTAGAAGGCAGGCATGCCTGCCTCCAGATGTTTTAATCAGGCACAAAGCTTCTTGGGGCCTATGTGATGATGAGCCTGGCTTTGGCACGCAGAAAAACCTTCCAGCCTTGAGGCCATCCCATTCTCCCATGTCTATCAGAGCAACTGGGCCCGTCACAAGCTGTTTGAAGCTGCAAGTGCAGATTCCGAATGGTTAAAACCTCTGGGGCCAACCGTTGGCAGAATTCACAGATGTTGCTGTCCACATTTGGGGCTTTGTAGGAATTAAAGCTGGAGAATTGTGAAAAACATAATGCTTCTCAGTGTGAGCAGAGCACCCAAGCTCTTGGCTGAATGCCAGCTGGCCCGTTTGCTGGGATCAGAGGGTGCGCGGTGGGAGGAAGAGAAAAAGTGGTGAGTAATGTGTAGCGAGGCTCTGATCCAAGAGGAACATTCTGGATTCCATTTGCTGGTAAGCATGAGAGGAGAAACCCAAAATCATCCTGATTTCCCATCACCTTTCAAAAGAACGGCTCCAAACCGTGAACAACTCTTGCATAATATCCTTTGCAGAGGGCTGTGTGTCAGAAATTTCTGCAAAAAAATAAAAAATTGGGGAATGGGAGATCAAAGGGCCCAGCTCACACAGAGCAAAGTGCAAGCACACCACTGAACAGGAAACTGAAAGCAGATTAAGCCTTAATTATGCACGACAGTAACTCAAACAGGCATTCACAGATGCCTTTTTTAACCTGCAGAGGCTCAACCACATGTATTCAAGTGACCAAAACATGCCAGAAAGCATAAAAGCAGAGGTGTTAGGAGTGTGAGATCTTGATCTCCACAAAGAGACCGTGTGGCTGAGTTAGAGGCCCATGGCCAAGATTTCAACACTTCATTCATGGGAGAGACCCACGTTCTCTGTGCAGGTCTCTTCCTCTCTGATGTGGGAATTAAATCATTGTGTTTCAGGAGCCACCCTGTGGCATTCCCCCACTGCCATCCTGCTGGCACCGCCCCACAAGAACTCGAGTCTCCGAAGGGTGCCGCCAGCTTGCTCTCTCTCAGATCGGTCAGGGGTATTGCCAAGGCAGATCCGTCAGCCCCTGAATCCGAGTCCAAGCGATTAGCCGCCTTTCCTCAAGGGAAAATGACCTGGCCGCCTCTCCAGACCAAGTGTAGAACTTTGAACGGATTGGGGGCCACCCACAAACACAGCGCCGTAGCTCTCCAACAGCACAGACCCGTTCATGACAAAAAGGAGGAGAGACAGTGTCTTCGTTTTTGATCAACTTGTATTCAAGATGCTGGAAATAAGCTTGGCTCTGAAACCCCAGAGCAAAAGATGCTTGGAATGAAAAGATATTCACAAAGGAGTCACCTAGCCACATTTACCATTTTTCTCAGCAAAGCCGCAAGACAGCATCGAGCTTCTAGGCTGGAGGTAGAGCTGCTGAATGCTTTTATTTTCTTTGTTTCTGGACCTCAAGGAAGTAAAAAAGCAAAACAAAAGAAAACCCCTGGGCTATGTAAAAACTGGCAACCTACTTCTCAACATGCTTCAACACAGGTAGGTAGTCCTTGCTTAACCACCATTCATTCATTCAGCCACTGTCTGAAGTTACAACGGCACTGAACGAAAGGACTTATGACCAGTTCTCAAAGTTCCAGCCGCTCCAGTGCCCCCATGGTCACATGAATAAAATGTGGGCCCACCTGCATTTACGAACACCCCCTTACCCCCAGCTGACCTTCACTGTCATCTTCGCCTGCCTCCTCTCGTCGGGCTCACCATCCTGGCCACACGTGGGGGAGGTGCTATGAAAACATCCTGCAGGCCAGCAGGTGAGAGCTGCTGGCGTGTGCCACACAGTGCACCACTACCGGCCAGGTCTTTCTTTCGCGTACCGGCCAGGGCCTCCTTCCACAAAAGAAAGACCCAGACAGCCCGCGAAAGGAGGCCAGTGTGAAAGAAGGCCCCGGCTGTGCTGGCGTGTGAAAAGAGGCCCTGGCCGGCATGCAAAAGAAGGCTGGTGCAAAAGAAGGCCCTGGCTGGTAGTGGCTCACGGTGTGGTGGATAGGTGGGCGGCCAAAGGGGCAGAGATGGGGGAGAGATAGGTGGAGGGAGGAGTTGAAGTGGAAACAGTCCCTCACCTTCTTCCAAGAATGGCTTGGATCCGGGTGGGTCCTCGCCTAATGACTGCGCGGGATTCGCTCAACGACAGCAACTGGGATTGCTGGAACTGCCGTGACATTTTGCTTAATGACCGCTCTGCTTAGTGACAGAGTTGCCAGTCCCAATTGGGGTCATTAAGCGAGGATTACCTGTACATTTTCACAGCCTGTTTGCTAGAATCAGCAGGCAGAAATGTCACTTTCCCAGGTAGCACTTAGTGGGGCTGGGCTAAAGGGAGGCATCGGAGGGGCCTTATCCACTGCAGAAACAGTTCAAAGAATGTTCAGTTAGCCAGCCTTTAGGACTCACATGCTGTCTTAAGCAGTGTTTCTCAACCTCAGCAATTTTAAGATGTGTGGACTTCAACTCCCAGAATTTCCCCAGCCAGCATCTGGCTCTGGGAGTTGAAGTCCACACACCTTAAAGTTGCTGAGGTTGAGAAAACTAGTCTAGAGGACCAGAGCTGTAAGAGATCAAATCATTTTTAAACAGAAGGAATGGAACCACTGATGCTTAAATCATGAATATGAGAAAAACATTATCTCCCACCCCCCCTCTGCAAAAAAGCAAAAGAATCACTTTTCAGCCTTTGGTGTTTTCTTCTTCCCAGCAATGGAAGAACTGTATCATCAACTCCTCTTTTGGCGAGGTGCCTGGGAAAGAAAGGCATCTCTCTCTCAAAGTTCCAGCAGCCTCTGGTGTATGTCATGCCCAGGTTCAGCAAACACTACAATGTTTGTGGGGGACAGGAAGAGAGAGGAAGAGCTATAAACCAAAAAGAACAGTCCTGAACCAGCCAAGATGGTGCATAACAAGAGGAACATGGTCAGAACATCTTGAAGTAAATGAGATCCAATTAAAAAAAAAATCAGAAAAATATATTCCACTATAAACAGAGTGATACCCGGCTATGGGGCCACATCCAGATCCAAGGACCTGAAGAACAATCCTTCGGAAGGAAAACAGCCGCTGGAGACAATTCCTGTTGAAAGGCATACAAACTGGTCCAGATGCACAAGTATTAGGGGAAATAACGTGGCTTGCTACCTGCGGACCGCTCACGCTCACCGTAGTCCTTGGGTTTGTTAGAACAATAGAACTATCCAGCACGAGCCGAGAAGAAGGGCAGAGCACGGACAAAGCTGTCCAGCTTGTTGCGAAAGAGCTCACTCTGGATGGTCTCGTTTAAGTCGCAGAGAGGGTTTTTCACCACATACTCCACATAAATCTAAGGAGAGATGAGAAACAGGCCAGGCGGTTGGTACACAGGGGTTCCTTCTCCTCAAGCCCACTCAAACGGCCCTCAGAGAGATGAAAATGGAGCAGGATTACTACCTTCCAAACAAATGTCCCCAATTTGTCTTCTCCTCATGCAGGAAATTCAGTTTACAACCTTCCCAGCAGGAATGAAACAGAACCTTTATAATTCTGCTTATTAAGGCTACCCAGCCATTTTAAATGAGAGTAGAAAAATTCTTCCTAAACATCCCAATGCTTGACTTAAAGGAAAAGAGGCTTTTTCCAATTTTCTCAGCAGTCATATCTAAGGAAACACCCACCAACAATTTTCCATGGCAAAGTGAATCTCTTTTTATACCTTAAAGCTTTAAATAATTCAGCCATTACGCTTGCCTGCTGTTTACAACTGTGATTTTTGCTGAAAGCCCCTATGAGCTTAAGCACTAAGACTGGGAAGAAACTCTTATGCACGCTGTCACGGATAAGTGCCTATTACGGCCTGTCCCTCATAGAAGCAAGCTTTGTGCAACTCAGCATCTTCAGGTAGCGAATAGTCAAAGGCAGCATTGAATAATAGCATTGCTGCTCTGCTCTGCTCTGCATGCTGCCAGTGCACCTAGAATTGCCAACCACTGCCCCCTGCACATGACAAGATTATCACAGGACCGGGAGAAAGCACTGCGGGGGCACAACACACAAACCCTCACATGGCTGTAGATCTGGTGCAGGATGTCCTGGATGTTGCCCACTCCCAAGTCCGTGTTCATGACCACCTTGAGCCCGGTGGGCGTCTCGTAGTAGTGCAGCTTGTACTTGCTGGTCTGGAAGGAGAGGAAGCCATCCTTCCTGTGGCACTGAGATTAAGGCAAACAGGAGGGAAACACAGACTTCGCTGTCCCACCCGCCGTCAGCCTCGAGGGTGCGGCTTTGTGTGCCGTGAAGAAAGCCCCCATGGAGTCCATCCCCCAACCCACCAAGAGATTGCCCGATGGGGAAAGGATACATATCCAGAGGGCTCATTTTGCTAACAAAGGAGCGGATGGAGAAGAGCATTCCATACATCAGCTTGAACTCCTGGGACGGGGAGGGGGAGAGAGAATGAGCACAGAGGGAAGAGACGAGAGGCCCTGGCAAGGGCTTTCATGTTCACTTGTAATGCTTTAGCATCGCACTGCAGCAAGTCAGTGCAAGTTTATTCAAATTAGGACAATTCACCTGTTTCAGCTCCATCACACACAGAAAATTGCACCATTATGTTTCTCCAAGCTTTAAGGTTTCCATCCCCGCTTGACACGGGAGACAGACGAAAACAACTTAATGCTTCAGAGATGCACTCTGGGTCCAGCAGGGGTTGGTGCTCAGACATTCTTAGAAGAGACTCTCTACCAGTGTTAATCCTTCCCTAGCTGAACATGATACTGCAGCACCGTTTCATCTGATTCTCCTGATCAGGATACCATTGTGGGAAAAACCCACAACAATCAACAATATATATCAATCTTGCCTAGAGTGCAGGACCCAGAATCAAGCATTAAAATTACAGGATGGCAGATTCCAACCCGATGTTAGAAAAATCTTCCTCACAATGAGAGCAGTTCAAGGGTGAAACCAGTGATCCGGGGTGATAGGTTCCTCTTCACTGGATGTGTCAAGCAGGGGTTGGCCAGCCACCCGGAGAATGCTTTGATTTGGATTCCTGCACGGGGCAGGACCCTTTAAACACAAGATACAGAGCAGTAGCTAATGCAGCTCTTATACCTGCCTAAAAGTAAAAGTGCAAAGCTAAACCACTGCTTCTCTTGCCTTTAAGAGCCAGAAGGGGTAGCTCTGCACAGCAGCAGCTGCTGAAGCACATGGAAGCATCACATTCAATCGGCTTAACATTTTTAATCCATTAACAGCTAAGCCATGCTCACTTGGAACAAAACCAAATTTTTGAAATATTCGTGTTAGAGAGATTAGCAGAAATGAGGCTATCCAACTAGAAAGACATCTAAAACCCAGGTCAAACTGAAATAAAATATCTGTAAGTGTTGAAGCTTAAAGCAGCTTTGGGGATGTCACATCTTCAAGTACATTCTTCTCCAACCTGGTTCCTCCTAGATATACTGGAACTGTAACTCCCATCATCCCCAGTCAATGGCCATATTGGCTGAGGATTATGGTTGTTCAAATTCTCCTTGGTTTGGAATGCAGTTTTAATAGCACCCCACCCAGGTCAGACCAAGCAAACCCTGTTGGCATTTAGAAAACTACTAACTGGGTGTTCTGGAAGGCCGTTGTGGATTAATAGGTGCTAGTCCCCTTCCTGCAGTTGAGTTTATTTATTTCCATTACAGTGTTGATAGCCCACACAACTCAAAATACCCTAGGTGGGTTTATAACAAGTTAAAATTATAAACGAAACAACAGATTGAATCAAAATTATAGCAAAAACAGCAATTATACATCCAAAATAAAGAACTGATGCTCCCCCAAGATGGAGGCTACTAAAATACGGGAAGGATTGAAGGCCCAATGAAATAAAACTGTCTTTAAAGACAGTGATGGGCTTGGAGACTGAATCCTACAAAGTATGGTTAAAGGATCCACATGTGTTTGGCCTAAAGAAGAAAAGGCACATGAATGCAGTCTTCCTATCCTTGAAGGGCTGTCCCAGGGAAGAGGGGGTGGATTTATCCTTCAGAGGGCCCAGGGATAGGACAAGAACCAATGGGTGGAAGATTAACGGAGAGAAACTTGAAATAAGGAGGAATTTGCTGACCATGAGAGGTCTGAAGCAGCGGAACAGCCTCCCTCCTGGAGTCATGGGGCTCCATCACTGCAGGCTTCCAAGCAAAGGCTGGACAGCCCTTTGGCTGGGAGGGTCTGAGGATTCCTGTGCTCAGCAGCAGGTTGGACCAGATGACCCCCAAGGTGCCTTTCGGTGCCATGACCTTCTAAAAACCAGGAGGCAGGGAGCTTTACAGCCCCTGGGAGTAAAGGGTCCCAAAGTGTGGGGCCTCTCATCAGGCCCATGCCCCCCTCACTTAAGAGGGGGCTCTTAAGGGGCCTTCCTGAGATGCTCTCACCGGAGGGGCCGGTTCAATTCTGCCAAGGCAGTGCCCGCTGGACAGGGATTTACAAGTCTCTGCAGTATCAGCCACTCAAGAGTGTGTTATGATTGTGTATGTGTGTGGTTTTTTTTCCTGGATGGCAAATAGGAAGGTTTTAAGGTTATCTCTGACCGCTAGGCTTCTATTGTGATCTCCTGTTAGTTATTTTCTCTTCTGTAGCATTTGCATTTTATTCGGGGGAACCGTGATGAATAGACAAAACGGATCCAAGACCTAAAGTCACCTGCTGCAGCGAAACCAAGTCAGGAAATGGGACTCTGACGCAGACCAGACCCGCAACGGGGCCTGGCCGAGGCCTCTGAGCGCTTGCAGAGGGCCTCCCCCTCCTCCCCCCCCCCCCGGGGCCGAGGCTCACCTCCTCTTTGGAAATGCCGGCCTGCTTTTTCCGGTTCCACTCGCTGTAGTGCAAGCAGGCGCCATTGCGGTCGAAGAGGTACAGGTTGTGCACCGTCATCTGGGAACGGAGAGAGGGAGCCGGAGCTCCGTTAAAAGCCAGACCGCAGGAGAGGCCGCGTCGCCCGTTTTCGCTGCAAACAGCCCCCAAGCCCCAGAGGGATGTACATACGGTAATAATAATGACCACGCCACCCACCGCCCCCTCCCGGTCAGGCTTCTCGGGGTCGGGAAGAACCCCCCCAGGCCTACCTCGGCCGCGACGCCTCACCGCCCGCCGCCGCGACTCCCGTCTCTATGACAACCCCGCCGGGCCAGACGTCTTTAACTTCCGGGATGGGGTGCGTACCTAGGCAGCGCCGTGACCCCTCCCGCTGATTGGCTGCTGTCTGGAGGCTCAGGCCGCCCCTCTTTCGAGCATGCGCTATGGTCGCCCTCTCTACTGCCCACACGGCGGGAGGACTTGCCCGAAAGGAAAATGGCGGTGTCGGCTTCACCCCGCTCCCGCCCTGAGGCCTTGCTGGGCGGTGCGCGGGGAAGAGGGAGCAAAGTGGGGGCCCCTGCGAGAACCGGCGCGGCGGCCTAGAGCCTGGCGGGGGAGCAAAGTGGGGCTGAAGGCGAGGACCCAAGGCGGGGGCGCTAAAATAACGGGGAGGAGGCGCCCGAACCCCAAGAAGGGGCTCCTGCAGGTGGGGAGGGAGCGCGGTTTACCTCAGGGGTGGGGGAGAGGCCTGCGGCAGGACCTCCTCCGCGTTGGCGCCCTCCAGATGTGCAGGACTCCAACTCTCATTGCCTCCCAGGCAGCGTGGCCGAGCTCGCCGAGGATGATGGGAGTTGGAGTCCAACATGGTGGGACAGCCAAGGGGGGTCAAAGGGTGCAGGGGGGAGGCTCTGAGGAGGGACGGAGTAAACAGGAAGGCTTCTTGGAGCCCAGAGCAGGGTTGGGGGAGGCAATCACACCAACTGCTCTGTTACTTGGTTCTTTTTCTCAGCTTTTAGCCTCCCGTCCTGGGATTTCCTAGTGGTCTCCCATCCTCTCCCCCCTGCACCCCAGCTGAGCTTTTCAAGGTTGGCTGGGTGATGCTGTGCCAGGCTGAGGAGGAACCTGAGAGTAAATGAAGAAGAGGAGCCCTCACCACGGGGGCAGTGGCTTAATTACCGCCCCCCCCCGGCTGGCCGATTCTGCCGGAGGCTTCAGGGCCCCCAAGCCGACGCGCCGGCCTGCGTTCCTGGGGCTGGGGATAAAAATCAGCTGCCGTGTCAGTCCTTGAGGTCCCCCTACAGATCTGATTAATCGCTTTAAAAACATCCAGGGGAAGGCAGGATCCGTCTGCCCACTTTCTTCCTTTGCGCTCTGAATTTCAAGCTCTCTTTTTCCTTTTCTAGGACCGGCTTGGGGAGCTAGCTGTGCCCCCTACTTTCCTGCTGGCTCCAGCCTCTCTTTGCCGCCCTGCCCAAACGTGCTGCCCGCAGGTGTTTGGTGATCTATTATGACAGAAGCTCTGGCCTTCTGAACACAGAATGCTTGCACTGGCCACTGCCCTTCCTTTAGAACCCTGGGACCATGGCCGAGAAGAGCATCGGCCGGGCTCTGAGCTCTTCCCTCCGGAGCGACGATCTCTTGAGCGACATGGAGCTGCTGCCAGCGTCAGACCCCCCCACCCCAGGGCAGCAGGTGCCCAGTTCTCAGTTGACTACCCCATATACCTCCAAAGTGACCACCCAGCTCTACGCCTCCCTTCACCAGAGCCGACAGGCTGAGGCCCAGGCCCGTTCTCGCCTGGAGAGTCAGCATGGCTCAGCCCTGGCCAGGAAAGCCATGGAGGCCGACGTCGATCTGGACACTCTAGCGGAGGAGCTGAGCCATCGGCTTTCGGCCAGCGTGGAGGCCAGCGCATTTAGGCAGGTAAGGCCTGCTCCTTAAGAAAATGACTCCTAGGAAGGCAACAGCCAGATTGCAGGAAGGCTCAATGCCAAGTCTCTTCCCCTCTTGTAGGGTGCCGTGACTGAGTCCCGCCATATTTCGGAGATGGAGAATGTGCGGTGCCACCTACAGAGTATGCTGCGGGGATCCAGAGATGTGCATGGTGAGAGCAGGAAAGGGAGATGGCTTGGCTTGGCTGCAATGGGAAATTAAGAAACAAATAATAAAAACCCTTTCTTGTTCCATTTCTATGGCTGCCTGACAACAGGTATTTTCTAAGAGAGGTATACTTCACAAAACAGGGTTTCTCAATGTAATGCTCTTCCCATGAATTGGACTGTGATACCCTTCATCCCCCAGCCAGGGTGATGGGGCTGTAGCCCAACATATTAGAAGGCACCAGGCCAGGGGAGGCTGAAATGCATTAACAAAAGTACAGCACTCAATCATTAAAAGCTGAATACAGTAAACACCCCATCAAATCCAAAGCTTTTCTTCTATAAGGGACAAAATGATTAGGGAAACCCAATTTCAAATGCCTCGGCATGTGTAATAATCTTTAACCAACTGTCTCACATACAGCTTGCAGTCTGTTGAGTGAACTGAATTCTCAACGGTTAGGAATGCATTTCCTTTAGCTCTTAATTTGCTTTATGGGATCCAAGGGCCACTAACTCTAGGGTTCTGTTCCCTTGCGATGGTAAAAAAAAAAAAAACCTGGGAGAACCTCATGCTTCACCCCCAGAGGGACTTTCCTAAGTGAAGTTCTGTTTGATGCTAAAATTGGGAGGGGAGGACAGTACTCAGTTGCAATAGGATCCCTTAAGTCTTTGATCTTGCACTCCTCTCCTGCTCTGGTGAGAGTTGTAGGGGAAGTATACCTGAAAGCCGTGCCTGCTTTCAGCTGCTCCTTTTCCTGTCTTTTGCAGGAGGTCCCGCTGTCACACTGGAGACCTTGGAGCGGAAAGATGATGACTCCTTTGAGAGTGACAGCACGGCTGCTCTGCTCAAGTAAGATGATCTCAGTGGAGTAGGTGGTCTCTTAGTGTAGAGAATAAGGAAGATAACCTGGGTGGAAATAAGCAGGAGCCATTACCTAAAAGGGGCTGAAACATTTTTTAAGCCCAGAGCATCATGATAACAATTGGAAACAACTCAGATATTTCCCTGATTCACGATGGTGAGGAGGAGGAAGAGGAGGTCCAGCACAAATACTTGCAAGATGCTGTTACAGGTAGCCCTCTCTTAACAACCGCAATTGGGACTGGTAACTCTGTCGCTAAGTGATGTGGTCATTAAGTGAAACATCACATGATTGCACCCAACTTACGTCAGTTCTGCTGTGGCTGTTAAGCAAATAACCCACGGTCGTTAAGTGTGACATCACATGACCGCAACTTGCATCTTGCTGCTGGCTTCCCCATTAACTTTGCTTGTTGGAAGCTGGCTGCGAAGGCAGCAAATGGTGATCACGTGACTGTGGGACGCTGTGACCATTGTTAAGTTTGGACCTGTTGTAAACCTACTTTTTCAATGCTGTTGTAAGTTCAAATGGTTGCTAAACAAGGCAGTCGTTAACCCTGTTACTACCTGTATTGCAGCCAATCTCAGTAAAAGTAGTTTTGGCCTTCCTGTGGAGTTAATTTCCTGGTCTGGTCTACCTAGTGGGGCTGATCCTTAGCGGAGAAAGAATTTGGCATTTTCTGGGCCTAAAAAGCAACCGAAGATTTGAAAATCTTTCTCTCTGG